TATATATATAATTTCTGTATAAGATGTAAAGCAGTTGAGGAAGACAGCTAACATTAACCTCTGGCCTCCACACAAACATGCACATGCACCACACACACACACACACACACACACACACTCATGCACACACCCACATACATATGCACACCACATGCAAACACATGCAGAGCAATATGACAAGAACTCTTCCACCTTAACAGTAGACATGTGAATAAAATAAATGTATTGTGCCCCTGTCATATTTACTCATTAAAGAATGCATAGACGGCACAATCAAATTTAGCAGTCTTTTGCTATTCCCACATTTATTGTAAATAGTTGGATGGTGTAAGTTTGCATCTCTTTAAGTAGATTCCACAATTTATACTTTTAATTTGTGTGGTGTTCTTAATTCCTGCTTGATGAAATATTTTTGCATGTTTTCTAGAGAAAAGAATATCATTTTATAGCCTTGTCAGGCAAAAATCATTCCTAATAGTGACCAGCATTTCTTTTCTTTCCCTCCCTCCCTCCCTCCAACCCTCCCTCCCTCTCTCCTTCCCTCCCTCCTTCCCTTCCTCCCCCTCTTCTTTATTTCCTTCCTTCTTTCTTTTTTTCATAATACTTTTTGGTTTACTTTTGAGAGAGAATCAAACATAGTAGCCCAGGCTAGCCTCTCTCTTTCTTCCTTTCCTCTTTCTTTCTTTCTTTCTTTCTTTCTTTCTTTCTTTCTTCTTTCTTTCTTTCTTTCTTTCTTTCTTTCTTTCTTTCTTTCTTTCTTTCTTTCTTTCTTCTTCTTTGCCAGTGTCTCATGTAGCTCAGGCTGCCTTTGAACTGGCTATGCAGCTGAGACTGACACTAACTTTCTGATCCTCCTGTATCTACCGCCTGAGTGCTTAGATTACAGGCATGTACCACCACACCAGGTTTAAGCAATGCCATGGATCAAATCTAGAATTTCAGTCATGCTAAACAAAGAGTCTACCAACTAATCACACTCTCAACTCTACAATTATATAATTTTATAAATGTAGTCGATAATAGCAATACCATAAGGCTTACTTTAAAATGTTTTACTTTAAAGTAAGTGGGGATATAATGAGATCATTTAAAGATATGTGGTCCCTGGTCGGTTGACCATGCTCCAGTGGATGGCCTCACGTCTGTGCATATATGGGGTCATAAACTGGACTCTGTGGTACATAAAAAAATAAAGAGGGCATGGAGCTGGAAGGAGAGTGTGGGGGTGAATCTGGGAGGAGTCAAGGGGAGGAGTGAGGATGAATGTGATCAAAACATATTGTAGGAACTTCTCCAAGAATAAAAATGCTATATTCAAAATATATAATTCCAGTTTAAAAAGTAGTTGATAGGCATATATCATAAAATTCCTAAACATATAAGTGGTCTATAATTCTATGTACCCTCGGCCCAGAGACCCTCATTCCTTGTGGGTCTTGCAGAGGAAGCCTCTTTTCTACTTATTTCTAATGTGTACTTCACCTGCCTATTTTGCCTATTTCTTTTAGGTGACTCCAGAGCTGATGATAAAAGCATGTACCTTTTACACTGGACATTTAGTAAAGAACCATTTTTGGTAAGACTGTGCTTTTTGTGTATTATTTTTCTTTTTTGCACTTTTATTCCTGATATTCTTTACACAAAGGAAAGCTCACTTTTGGCCAGCTGCATTTCCAACACTTTGTATTATGCTTCTTTAGTATTTAATGAGTTTTATATTTGGGTAAAGTGTCTTCTTTTTAATATTTTATTTATTATTATTATTTTATGTGTATGCATGTATTGCCTGCATGTATGTGAGTGTACCATGTTGTGCAACGCCCTTGGAGGTCCGAAGAGGGTGTTGGATTCCCCTGGAACTGAAGTTATGGATGGTTGCTAGCTGCCATATGGGTGCTGGGAATCGAACCCTGGTCCTTTCCAAGAGCAGCCAGTGCTCTTAACCGCTGAGTTATCTCTCCAACCCCTAAATATCTTCTTTACTTCTTTGAGATAAACCTTGTCTAAAGTCCTTGGGACTAGGTATTTTTTGGAATACAGATTCCTTTTTAATTAATTAATTTTTGGTCTTTTTGAGACAGGTTCTCCCTGTAGCCCCACCTAGCCTGGAACTCACTATGTAGATCAGGCTGGCTGACCTGGATTTCACAGAGGTCAGCCTGCCTCTGCCTCCGAAGTGCTGAGATTAAAGGCATGCATCACCATGCCCTGTCCTTAAAATTTTTAAATAATCAGAGTGATTCTTTGGGTAAATTGAAATTATGATAACATGGTGTTAACTTAAGATGTCTTTATTTCATCCAAAATAAAGTACAACTGTCCTCATGTAATATTCCTTTTTTATTCCTCTCTGCAACTATCAAGAATTCTTTGGGTTGTACCCAATTTATAGATGGTATGTTTTTCTATGCTGTTGTTTTAAGGGGATAAAGGACATATTACCTCTTACTCCTCTTAATTTATCTACTACTATGTTATCCTAACTTCCAGATAATATTTTTAAATAAGATTTTTCCTTATCTTTTGCCTGTAGCAACTGGAAGGAAACAGCAATACTTCGTGCAAATCAAGAGGCTCTCCTGGCTGAAAAAATGAAAAAAGCAATAGCACATTACAATTTTAGATGCCAAAAATCTTTATTTCATCACTGGTACTCTTATGTGGAAAACAATAAGGAAGAGCTTATAAGTAAATGCTTATACAATAACAATTAGTTTTGGTATTCATCTACTCAATGAGTTAACAAACTAACAGTTAGGCACATACTGTGAGAAAGTATTATTTTCATGTTTAGAGAATTGTCATTAAATGAATGTAGAGACACTCATTAAAAATACTTAGTGGGAGGCTGGGTATGGTGGTACATGCCTATAACAGCACCCAGGAAACTGAGACAGGAGATGCAGTGAATTCAAGGCCGTTCTGGGCTACAGAGTGAGACTCTGTCATAAAAAATACTAAAAAACTTGAGATTTATTTTAAAAAGATTTTATTGCAGTAGAAAACATTCATATTTTGTGGTGAGAGAGATGTCTTAGCAGTTAAGAGCACCTACCGTTCCTGCCAAAGACGAGTTCAGTTCCTAGCACCTACATAGTGGCTCATGATTATGTGTAACTCCAGTTCCAGGAGATCCTATGCCCTCTTCTGGCCTTGGTAGGCACTAGGCATGCACATGGTGGACATTTGTACATGTGAGCAAACATAAAATAAAAATAAATAAACCTTTAAAAAATAAGGAAAATGCATATTTAAAATAAAATCATAATATGATAAATATATGTAGATAGATATGTATATCTCTATATATGTACTATTAGCTTTCTTTTGATGTGGTGCTAAACCCAGCGCCTTGCCCATGCTAAACAAGCTCTCTTCAGCTGATCTATATCCCAGCTCTTTTTCCCCTTTTTATTTTGAGACAAGGTCTTGTTAAGTTGCCCATGTGGGCTTTGAACTTGCAATATTCCTGACTTATCACCATCACTCACTCCCAGCAGCTAAGGTTGTAGGCCTGCACCACCAGATCCAGCTACTACTAGCTCTTGGACTTAATAAAGAGTTCACAAATTATAGACAGAACCCAAAATGCAGAGAGCTATGCATTTCTTACACATATTTCCTTTAATGTTCATATGAGGAAGTTTAAAGAAAAACTATTTTCTCTGATTGTGATGAATGGACAATGGACAGCACGTGTGTGATCTTAGCAGGGCTATAGAATTATAGCCTTCCTGGACACTGATTGATTTATGACTGGGAAAAACTAGAAAAGATTTCTCTCTCTGTACAAGGTCTCACTGTGTAGCCTGGGCTGACCCAGAACTCACTATGTAGCCTGCGATACCCTTGAACTCAAAGCAATTCTCCTGCCCCAGCTCTCGTGTTCTGGGATTATAGGCGTAAACTACCATACCAGCTGAAAATAATTTCTTTTTGACCCTTTTTGTCTGTACCTCCCTCAGAGTGGATTACTAAGGTTTTAACATAGACATAAAGAAGGGTTAGGAATTGGTTAACTGGCTAGCATGTCACAGGGGTGTAATAGCAGATGACTCTCCCAAATCCTGGATAAGTTGCAAGCTCCAAAGAGAAAGCTGTTTAGTTTGTAGTCAGGAAGCCCTGTACAAATTCCTTTTCCTCTCTGCCCTTTTAGGTCCTTCTTGCTCCTTAACACCTCCCCCTTAGTTCCTTACTCCTCTTCATTTCTGTTTCTCTCTCATGCCTTCCCCCACTTGGCCCCTTTCTCTTTTTTCTCTTTAATCCCCTCTCTTTTCTATTTTGCCTTTTGTCTCCTTCAGCTCTGATTCCCTTTCTCACTGTTAGATTGAACCTTGTGGTACTGTTGCAGTTTATTCCTCTGTTCTCTATCCCTGCCTCTCTTTGCTCTCTTTTCCCCTAATTCCACCTACTTGTCTCTTTGTGTGTGTGTGTGTGTGTGTGTGCGCGCGCGTGTGTGTGCATGAGTTCTTCTGGAACTGGAGTTACGGACAGTTGTTAGCTACCATGTGTGTGTGTCCTCTGGTCCTCTGCAGGAGCAGCCAGTGTTCTTAACCACTGAGCCATCTCTCCAGTCCCTACTTGTTTCTTTTCTATATAGTTTCCATTCTTCTGGCTTTTGCCCTGTTTTTTCTTTAGCTGGCAGCTGAGAAACTGTTACCCCTCCTCAGCCTGTTTGCTCTTCCTGGCTCCCATATTTGAGATTTGGACCTCTGATTTACATGTATCAGGCAGTACTGGTTTTATAAAGAATAGGTTTGTCAAAAAAAGAAACATATATCTTAAGATTTCTATTGTTTTTTTAAAATATTTTATTTATTTATCTTATTTTTTGTGTATGTGTGTATTGCCTGCATATAGGTAAGTGCACCTGTGTCATGAAATGTCCACAGAACACAGAAGAGGCTGTCAGATCCCCTGGAACTGGAGTTATAGACAGCTGTTAGCTGCCATGTGGGTGCTGGGATTCGAACCCGGGTCTTCTGCAAGAACAGTGTTCTTAACTGCTGAGCCATCTCTTCTATTGTATCTAATTTCTAGTGGTAAAGAACATGTTTAAAGGCTAATGAAGTCTCAAGGGCATGATCTAATGCTGTCAAAAGTAATTTTAACATGATTAAAAACAAACAAAAGCTATTAGATACAACATTAGTTCACAGTATATTGGTATATTGAACTATTTTGGTATTTTTGGAAACAGCTCTAACTACATGCAATGTCCTGATATATTTTCTTCAGGATCACTGCTTCGGATGCAACAGATATTCTGTATCCACAGGCAAAAAGTTATCATAGCAAAATGGAGGGAGAGAGCAAAACAGAAGAGTAAAATGAGAGAAGACAACTTGGTATGGTGTGTTAGTTCCAATTTGCTAAAGAAACTGCTACATTTATAGTCATATCACTAAAATCCTAAAGAGTATATTTTTTCATAGAATCATTATTCTTTTTTATTATTTTATTTATTATTTTTATTTTATGTGTATGAGTGTATTGCCTGCATGTAGGTGAGTGCACTCGTGTCATGCAATGCCCATGCAGGACAGAAGAAGCCATTGGATCCCCTGGAACTGGAGTTATGGAGAGCTGTTAGCTGCCATGTGGTGCTGGGATTTGAACCCAGGTCTTCTGCAAGAACAGTCAGTGTCCTTAACTGCTGAGCCATCTCTCCAGCTCCTAGAATCAATTATTCTTCATTAACTAAATTTCACTTTAGTTACCCCCAAGTGTTTTCTAAGAATTTCTGTTGTTTCACTTGAATATAAATAAGGGAAAATTTATTTTAACATGTTGCTTAAATTTGTTGATAAAGACGCTAAGATGTTTGTTTTGCTCGCTCCCTCCATTTTGCTATGATAACTTTTTGCCTGTGGATACAGAATGTCTGGTGCATCCGAAGCAGTGATCCATGCCAACAAATGGACAGGCATGTAAACTACAAAAGCATCTTATATGATTAAATCAGAGTAGTGATAAAGACTGAATATAAATTTATTCCTTTTCTAGATAAGATTAAATTGCTACTCTTTCCAGCATTTAATCTAATATGTTATTATTTTAACAGCAAATGATTTTCAAATTACTAATTGCTAACCTTAAAGATTTATTAACTAGGACACCCACTGAGAATTTAAGTAATCAAAAAATAGGACCCAAGAAAAAACTCCTCCAAACTAAAAATACTTTTTTTTTGGCTTATGTTATTAGTGTATTGTTTTATGTTCTAGAATATTCAGAGTACTATAACCAGATACAGAAGCATGCTGGAATCTTTTGTACATTATTTAGTAGGCAATACTTTGTCTTTTAAATAAAATTGAGATAAATAAGAAAGAAAAAGAAGATGGCATTAGATACCTCTGTTTTGTGATTACCTTTTGAGGACAGGACCAATGACTCCTCTCACTCACAACTAAGTTGTTGGAAGTGATGATCTTACACATTCAGGGAGAGACTATGGGAAGATTTATTCTCACATAGTACTTGAAAAGCATTAGATTCTGTGGAAGATCCTGAGATGCACAAGGCCTATGCTTACTCTTTACTCCCTGGAGTAAGAGCTGTGTATAACTTACAGGCATTGAGTTGGCTTTCTTACATGCTGTCCTCCAGCCTTCCCCTTTTCAGCATCACCAATTGAACAGCTCTTTGGGTACTATTGTGCATGCTCAGGAAGCTAAGCCAGTGTTTTGATTACTGTCTGCTGCTTAATCACTGATTGTATAGCAAGGAAATAGGTAACTTCACATGACCAGTGTGCTGCTTTTATACCTTATGCTGAATGTGTCTGAGGACAGATAGGGTTAACTTGAGTTTTCCCACGTAGCAAGCATGTTTTGCACACTGTAGTTGAGATATACAATGTTTAGATCCTCCTTTTTATCTGTTATAATTAATTGAGTGTTTAGACCAATTCATTTTTTAGCTATATAATATCTTGGCCAACAGTCATTCTTCACTCAGACAGGGTGAGGATGGCAGACGTGTGCTGGAAGCAGAGTCAGGGAACATCTATGATGCTGGCTCTCCAACATATTCCCTTCCTTAGATTCTAAAATGTATATATCTCATAGTGAAATTGTGTGTCTGTGAGATCAGAACAGGCTCAAAAATATTCAGGTACCCGTAGAACTTCTTTCTTATTGCATAGTTTTCAGGAAACGTATCACAGTTAAAATGTGACCCACATGGTGGCACACTCCTTTAGTCCCAGCACTCGGAAGGCAGAGGCAGGTGGATCTCTATGAGTTCAAGTCCAGCCTGGTCTACATAGCAAGTTCCAGGCCAGCTGGAGCTACAGGGAGACCCTGTCTCAGAAAGACAAAAGCAAAGTGACCTGCTGTAATGATAAACTGGGAAAGTTTCTAAAGTATCTCCTTCATGGTCCCCTTTTCTCTCCCTACTGACGCTTCCCTTTCATGTGCCCAATACTAGTTCTACCACTACCAGAACCTTCACTGTGGGCTTTGGTTTCCTTATCTTTAGAGGAAGAGACAAGATCTTTCAGGTGGTGGCCTGTGCCTATGTTTTTGACAGCTAGTGGAAATAATCTTTAAAGCCATGATGGTTATGCATTTATGTAGAAAATGATAATTTATGTAATAATGATGATAATAAATAATGTTTAGGTGGTGCTGGCATTGTGTCAAGCACTGCCTTTTATGTTGATCATTGCATTTGACCCTTAGGACAATTTTGTGGAATTTGTAAATTATTTTCATTGCAGATTTTAAAACATGAACTTCAACTGAGAAAATGGAAATTCAGGGTGAAAACCAAAGCAACTGAGGAAAAAAGCGTTAGTCCTGAGCGAAGTTTTTCTGACATTGCTATCGCCGTGCCCATAGAGTTTGACATTTCACTATTGCCCCAAAGAGCAATAATGCAGGTGTGTATAAATTTGGTGAATATTACATAATATAATCTTGTAATTTATATATTGCTTGGAGTTAGAATAAGTTTATTTTGCTCATAATTTCTTCCTTTACAAATTATCTGCTCATATCTTGTCTTTTGATTGCAATTCATACTTGTTTATATTATCTCTTTATATATTTTGGCAACATTAGCCCTTTATATAGAATATATTTTATTACTATAATTTTTGGATTTTTTTTGTTTGAGACAGGGTTTCCCTGTAGCCCCAGACAGCCTGAAACTTGCTATGTAGACCAGGCTGGCCTCAGTCTCACAGATCTGCCAGCCTCTGCCTCCCAAGTTCTGGGATTAAAGGCATGCACCACCACACACAGCTTAGAATATGTTTTTACACATCCTCCACATACCTGAGGTTTTACTTTTGCCTCTGGAGTCTTTTAGTGGTAGGAAATTTATGGCTTTAGATGATGAAGTGTTTCATTCTTCTCTCTTGCCCTAATCATTTCTCTTTTTATGTCACATTAATATATCAGTCTCAGTTGTTCAACTAAGTGTTATCACACTTACACACATACACACACACACACACACACACACACACACACACAC